ATTTATTATTAAAGAGGTTTATCTGAAGTTTTTCACACAACTCGAACCGCTTCGATAATACCCTAGATTCTAATAAAAACAAGGCTTAGGTTCGAGTTGTGTGAAAAACTTCAGATAAACATCTTTAATAATAAATAATCAAATCGGATGCCTCTTGGGCGGAAGGGTGTGCTGCTAGGCTTTGAAATTTGATTGAATCAGCTTTTTTCGCTATAAGTAATTTTTCAAAAATGGGCCATTTTCGCTTCGATAATACCCTAGATTCTAATAAAAACAAGGCTTAGGTTCGAGTTGTGTGAAAAACTTCAGATAAACCTCTTTAATAATAAATAATCAAATCGGATGCCTCTTGGGCGGAAGGGTGTGCTGCTAGGCTTTGAAATTTGATTGAATCAGCTTTTTTCGCTATAAGTAATTTTTCAAAAATGGGCCATTTTCGCTTCGATAATACCCTAGATTCTAATAAAAACAAGGCTTAGGTTCGAGTTGTGTGAAAAACTTCAGATAAACCTCTTTAATAATAAATAATCAAATCGGATGCCTCTTGGGCGGAAGGGTGTGCTGCTAGGCTTTGAAATTTGGCTAAATCAGCTTTTTTCGCTATAAGTAATTTTTCCAAATAAGGCCATTTTCGCTTCGATAATACCCTAGATTCTAATAAAAACAAGGCTTAGGTTCGAGTTGTGTGAAAAACTTCAGATAAACCTCTTTAATAATAAACAATCAAATCGGATGTCTCTTGGGCGGAAGGGTGTGCTGCTAGGCTTTGAAATTTGGTTAAATCAGCTTTTTTCGCTATACGTAATTTTTTCAAAATGGGCCATTTTCGCTTCGATAATACCCTAGATTCTAATAAAAACAAGGCTTAGGTTCGAGTTGTGTGAAAAAACTTCAGATAAACCTCTTTAATAATAAATAATCAAATCGGATGCCTCTTGGGCGGAAGGGTGTGCTGCTAGGCTTTGAAATTTGGCTAAATCAGCTTTTTTCGCTATAAGTAATTTTTCCAAATAAGGCCATTTTCGCTTCGATAATACCCTAGATTCTAATAAAAACAAGGCTTAGGTTCGAACTGTGTAAAAAACTTCAGATCAACATCTTTAATAATAAATAATCAAATCGGATGCCTCTTGGGCGGAAGGGTGTGCTGCTAGGCTTTGAAATTTGATTGAATCAGCTTTTTTTCGCTATACGTAATTTTTCAAAAATGGGCCATTTTCGCTTCGATAATACCCTAGATTCTAATAAAAACAAGGCTTAGGTTCGAGTTGTGTGAAAAACTTCAGATAAACCTCTTTAATAATAAACAATCAAATCGGATTCCTCTTGGGCGGAAGGGTGTGCTGCTAGGCTTTGAAATTTGGTTAAATCAGCTTTTTTCGCTATACGTAATTTTTCCAAAATGGGCCATTTTCGCTTCGATAATACCCTAGATTCTAATAAAAACAAGGCTTAGGTTCGAGTTGTGTGAAAAACTTCAGATAAACCTCTTTAATAATAAATAATCAAATCGGATGCCTCTTGGGCGGAAGGATGTGCTGCTAGGCTTTGAAATTTGGCTAAATCATCTTTTTTCGCTATAAGTAATTTTTCCAAATAAGGCCATTTTCGCTTCGATAATACCCTAGATTCTAATAAAAACAAGGCTTAGGTTCGAACTGTGTGAAAAACTTCAGATCAACATCTTTAATAATAAATAATCAAATCGGATGCCTCTTGGGCGGAAGGGTGTGCTGCTAGGCTTTGAAATTTGATTGAATCAGCTTTTTTCGCTATACGTAATTTTTCAAAAATGGGCCATTTTCGCTTCGATAATACCCTAGATTCTAATAAAAACAAGGCTTAGGTTCGAGTTGTGTGAAAAACTTCAGATAAACCTCTTTAATAATAAACAATCAAATCGGATGCCTCTTGGGCGGAAGGGTGTGCTGCTAGGCTTTGAAATTTGGTTAAATCAGCTTTTTTCGCTATACGTAATTTTTCCAAATAAGGCCATTTTCGCTTCGATAATACCCTAGATTCTAATAAAAACAAGGCTTAGGTTCGAACTGTGTGAAAAACTTCAGATCAACATCTTTAATAATAAATAATCAAATCGGATGCCTCTTGGGCGGAAGGGTGTGCTGCTAGGCTTTGAAATTTGATTGAATCAGCTTTTTTCGCTATACGTAATTTTTTTTCAAAATGGGCCATTTTCGCTTCGATAATACCCTAGATTCTAATAAAAACAAGGCTTAGGTTCGAACTGTGTGAAAAACTTCAGATCAACATCTTCAATAATAAATAATCAAATCGGATGCCTCTTGGGCGGAAGGGTGTGCTGCTAGGCTTTGAAATTTGATTGAATCAGCTTTTTTCGCTATACGTAATTTTTTCGAAATGGGCCATTTTCGCTTCGATAATACCCTAGATTCTAATAAAAACAAGGCTTAGGTTTGAGTTGTGTGAAAAACTTCAGATAAACCTCTTTAATAATAAACAATCAAATCGGATGCCTCTTGGGCGGAATGGTGTGCTGCTAGGCTTTGAAATTTGGTTAAATCAGCTTTTTTCGCTATACGTAATTTTTCCAAATAAGGCCATTTTCGCTTCGATAATACCCTAGATTCTAATAAAAACAAGGCTTAGGTTCGAACTGTGTGAAAAACTTCAGATCAACATCTTTAATAATAAATAATCAAATCGGATGCCTCTTGGGCGGAAGGGTGTGCTGCTAGGCTTTGAAATTTGATTGAATCAGCTTTTTTGACTATAAGTAATTTTTCCAAATAAGGCCATTTTCGCTTCGATAATACCCTAGATTCTAATAAAAACAAGGCTTAGGTTCGAGTTGTGTGAAAAACTTCAGATAAACCTCTTTAATAATAAATAATCAAATCGGATGCCTCTTGGGCGGAAGGGTGTGCTGCTAGGCTTTGAAATTTGGTTAAATCAGATTTTTTCGCTATACGTAATTTTTCCAAAATGGGCCATTTTCGCTTCGATAATACCCTAGATTCTAATAAAAACAAGGCTTAGGTTCGAGTTGTGTGAAAGACTTCAGATAAACCTCTTTAATAATAAATAATCAAATCGAATGCCTCTTGGGCGGAAGGGTGTGCTGCTAGGCTTTGAAATTTGGCTAAATCAGCTTTTTTAGCTATAGGTAATTTTCCGAATAAGGACGTTTTTTAGCTATGAGAATACCCTAGGTTTTAAAATTTGGAAGGCTTATGTTCTCCTATGGGGGTACGCTGACTCCCCATTTTTTAAACTCGTCATCCATCTCCTTAGTTTTGTTTACTGTACAACTTGACTTGATTTAGGAATTGCTCATCTGCTATTTCGAAGGAAGTTAAATAAAATTCGTGTCATTTTTATTGTTTATTCATTGTTTATGTAATTTATTGGTATTTTTTGCTTTGTAGATGTTAATTTATCGTAAATGATTAGTATCTTCCCATTGATCGTATTCTAAATTCGTTTTTCTACATTTTTTCGGATGTAGATTATGACACTCCTTCATTTCTGCTGCCAATATTCACCTTTCCGCTTCGCCGCACACAAAGGTCAAATTGCTACTAGCTTCACAGTGGTGTTACAGTGATGGTAATTACCGGTACTGCAATAAGAAAGATGACTTTTTTCCTCTGAATTGGCGGCGTACGGTACCGGTACCGTATATAATTGACCTATCTTTGTACGGTATCGGCAGGATTAGCAAGTAATTCTGTAATTGTATACGGTATGTTTAGTGAGCGAACACTTACCGGTACCGGTACTACTTCTTTTATTAATACCTCCCCACCTAAAATATGTACCATACGTTTTAAACCTTGCTTGAGGTTTCGTTTGCTTTCCCGACCTTATAACAGATATAATCAGTTTTATTTATTTTGTTTTCATCAATTGCTTCATCGTCTATTGCTGATTATGGAGTCGAGGAACCGGTATTCGCCAGGAATAGACAATTAGACTATTTATTCAACGTAGGTACCGGTTCTGCGGTACCGCTGTACTGGTATTCCAGCATTCATGCATTTATTGTTTACTTCAGGACTTTCAGATTTTGGTAATAATAATGTACGGTAATACAGCAGTACAGGGATGCTGATATCAGGATATTGAGTACCGTACCGGAACCGGTAGGCAGCTGTACCGGTACAATCTGACAATAGTCTGGTACCCGTACCGTACCAAATGTTCCATTTTCATTTTTTTAATGATCAAAAAATCATATTGCAGTATTGTAAGAATTTTTGAGCAATCGAAATGGTATTACCGTATCGCTTAAGGTTTACATTCGATGCAAAATATCTTCATTTTATCGCAATTTTTTGCTAAAACTATTGATTGCTACGGTCAATTTTTTTTACCTTTGTTAAATCAGATTATTTTTTGGAGCAGAATACAATAATGATGTTTTTATAGCCTATTGCCTTTTCTTTTAGTTTGTTGCACAGTGCTGGTTTGTCCATTTTGTATTAAGGCCCAGATTAAAGGTTAAGATAAAGGAAGGGTTTGTACTCACTGTTGATAATAATTGTAATAATTAATGTTCATCAATACGGAGGCTGTTCTTGGAATCGTTGAAATGTGTTGTACTGAAGTATGCTACTGCTCAACTATGATTAATTAACTAAATTGTTAGGATATATTTTCATCTCTCACATTCCTGTAAGGGTTAGGAATATGCTCGCCATCACACCATTCACCCATTGCTTGATTTCAATAGGTTTTAATCCTGTGGGGAATAATTATGTGCGAGAACATTGCTGGACCCATTTCACTGGGATAGGGTGATTCCTGTTGCCACTCGATTATGACTTCCTCCACATAAAGTCTGAATCAAATAACAAGTTAACTCTTGACTATTTCTCAAATCTGGCATAGACTGGTAACCAGATGGTTTGCCTTATGACTGTATGAATAAACCATTTTATTTGGTCTTCTCTACCTTGGTATAAATATGGAAATCCTATCTTTAAAATAATGTGATAATGATAATATGATTTTATTTCAAAATGGGATATACCAGGTTAAAACAGCAGGATATTATTTAACTTTCGTCTTTCATCTGAATTGGATTATTCAGAATAAAGTAAAATGGCGGTGAATCCTATGGATGAGGATGATCCAGTGAGTTCTGTAATGAAAGAACTCGCTGCTCTTCAACAACAAACATCCATTGTTCGATCACCGGAGTCTGTGAGTTCAATAAATTTTTTCATTTTATTGTTATTTGTTATCTGAATACCACATAATAATCGAGAGGTTGATTTTCTTTCTTCTATTCAAAAATCTTTTTTGTGAAACTTCTTGACTGGAGAAGAACTTTCAGATGTTGATATTATTTTTACTTTGAAAAGTACTGTAATTTAAATTCTGTAGTCTGTCCATTATTCACACAACTGCAGCTTGAACTTTTTATTCCGACCATAAGGGATATATCAGAAACTGAATAATTTATTATTTCAAAAACATTCTGAAAAAAATGCTTCGAAAGAAAAACACTAAATATATTGTGTCAGATCATTGTGTGTTGTAGTATTGAATTTTAGTTATCTGGAACATTGATTTCATTCATTTTCTATATTTGCTTATTCTGAAGAAATTTTATTTTTTTATGATTATCAGATCATCTATGGCTCAATGTACGGTAACAAATTTTCAAAGGAAAATGTTTTAAATTATCTCAAATATCAAGAATTTACTATAGTGATAGCTATAATCGCCATAATGATTTGTTTTCTACATCTTGTGTTATGATATGACTTGATGATATTTATTATTTTCTTGTACAGGGGAATGTTCGAGTAAAGTTTGAATTTTTTGGCGAAAGAAGAATGTCATACTTTCATAGACCACTTCTTCTCCAAGATTTACAAATAACCGTCAAAAAGAATTTCGGTCGACTCCTGATGATGCTATTTTCTGCTGGTGGAAATAATGATGTGAGAGAGTTTTTAAGTTTTCAATCCATTTTTTACCAGAGCATATCTTTCGAAGTCAGAATTTCTTAATATATGTTTCAAATGATTCAAATTTATTATTATTTTTATAATACTGATCCTATAAACCTATTACTGACACCATAGAACAGGGGTTCACAACCTTTTGCATAATATTTCTTCATTTGGCTATTTTGGAATTCTTTACCCCTCCCTCACTATGCATTACCGACTTTAATTAGTCAATCTGCAATGGTTTCGTGCTAGTGTTATGTGCAGACCACACACCCACTTATGTACAGTTTAGGTAGTTTATAAGAGAAACATAAACAATTATTATAGTAATAATATAGAAAGAATATTAGTAATACTACAGCAAATACAAAGCAAAATTCCTCTGAGATTAAATAAAAAAACATAATTTTACCTCTTCTTTGCAGTCGGATTTTGATCAGTCATCAAAAGACAGAGTTGATGTATTTGAACAGTTTTATGCATTTTATTTTCAGTATTCCTATTTATTCTATTGCAGATTTATCTACCAATAACAACACAAAAAGATGTCGATCAAATGGTAGAGTTTTTTGATTCAAATCCTGGAATGAAAAATATTAAAATATCATTAAAAGAAATCGTAAGTATTCTAGATTGATGGTTAGACTGATTTACGATGATCAAATAAATATGTATGCAAATGGGGATTGTCAAATCCGAATAATCTACTATTCAAATACTTTCTGAAAATTTTTTTTATAATATTCGATTCGTTTTGGACATCCCTGCCAACAAAGTATTAATATGAACATATTTTGAAAGCATTTGCTACCCAAAATTGTTGACTTTTATACCTTGTATATAGGCTGTATTTTATAGACTCACTGTATGGGTTTTAGGGTTATATTTAACTTTCAATGACCTTACCCTTATGATTGGAAAAAAATCCATATGACCCCTATGGCAGTTTATTATTCATTGTTATTTCAAGCATTGGTAGGCATTATGTACTCATTTGACCCTTTCATCTTCCAAGTAACTTGAGCAAGGATTTGTTGAATCATTGTTTGTCTTTGTGATTACTGCATGCTTGTAGTAGATCTATCGAAACTATACAAGTGTTGAATATTTGTATAATGTATTCATACGTGGTATGTGTACAAAATTCCTTAACATTTTAGCCTATAGCTACGTCACCGAGAACATCAAAGAAGCTGCCATCGCCTATACACAGATTGCAGGTGAGAAATATTTGAAAAAAATTTGGGTATGAATGTGTCTTCATCAATGCGTTTTAATTTGAAATGAATCAGATCAGAATAGTTTGTTTTCGCCTAAAAATGATGGCAGTCTGCAAATTTATAGCGACGAATACTAGAAGTCGAATAGTCATTTTAACAATAGCCATCTTATCGTGTAATGTTATTAGAAAAAAATTTCCTCAGCTGCTATCAAGCAGTACTTCTTTTTTTATACCAATACAATTGACTTTTATTTGGAATTTTTTAAATAAATCGTGAAGGTTACATTTGAACTGAATTTTTATTTTCCCTTGTACTTCATTTTCATAGTAATATTACCATAGCCTACTGAAATTTTTCATTCATAATATCATTTTGATCAGTATTCTACCTGTATTCATTATGCAACATAGTTATCAAATGCCTTATATCAGTGGTTCCCAAAATGTGGCTCGATATCTAATTTCCATGCAAAATATAAATCAGTGTTCTAAAAAATTGCTTCTCGTTTGCTCGTGTTTTATTAATTAATCTTGACATAACATGATAAAATCTATTAAACTGAATATGGTCAGAAAAGAACGACTCGTTCATGGTTCATGGATAAAAGTGCAATCTCATGTGTTGTATTTAATAAATATGCATATATTTATAAAACTTTTTCTTGCTGTAATTTAATGTTAAAACCATTTTTCCTAATTTGTCATGATTTGTATACAGAAAGCATCTTTAGTTTGGACAGTTTGGGGATCTCAGCTTTGTTGTAAAATTATAATATTTTAATGTGTTGACATTTCAAAAAGTATTGTTACTATTTGAAATTCCTTCAACTAATTTTTTCAACATCGCCAAATATCTTTGCCAAATACAAGATGTTGGGTGAATTTTTTATTTAATATCTTCAGTCTCCAACTCTGCCGAACCAGGGAAGATATTCGCCACCTCCTGGTACAATAGATGAGGATGAGGTTAAAGGTCATCGTGGATCTATAACTTCACTCAACAGTGAGGGAGAATTTATACCTGATAAAAATGTTCCGGTAAGTTCAATTTTATCTATTTAAATCAATAAATGTTGTTTTTAGTGTTAAAACTTGTTAGGTTTCCATGTAAGGAAGAATATTGCAGACTTAGAATTGACTTTAATATGCATTTCTTTGGTTGCTCCACAAATAAGGTATGACAATTTGGACAATGACACATGACAATTTTGGTGTGCCTGTATCTGTACAATTCAGCCATCACAAATTTTATTTTTTGTACATTTTGTAATCATTAATCTGACAATGCAATAAAGCTTTTTTATACTAACTTCAAATCTCTTATAATTTAGTTTATGTAATAATATTATTTGAGAGTTCAACCTTTTTTATGTGTTGGCTACTCTTCTCAAAAGAAACCACTCAGATAAGACTCAGTTATTAATGACTTTAGAAGGACTTCAGTAAAATATATACACAGTTTTGGTGCAATGGGTATAAACTGACCATTACTGGAATAGGCCTATTGGTCTCAATATTAATAAACTGTGATGCTAGTATCACTACCTCATACTGATTTCTTCAATTATTTCATATATGAATTTATTTGCTGCACTAGTGGCCATCTATGATTTAATATGACAAATATTTATCATTGGAAACAGGATGTATTTTAAATGTAAATATCTATTGACTTCCTGGCCGCTAACTACAATAAATAATATCTTAAAAGATTATGCCTAAAGAAGGAATAGTTGTCTTAGTTTCAGATGTTGTTTCCATGTACTGTAATATCTTTTTATAAACATAATGCCATGTTATGATACCATGGGTCATTGACTATAAAAATTGGAACTAGAAATACAAACTTCAAATGATTTTTAAAATAGCTATGTAAATACACTGTGTGAATCAAGATATCTCTCTTTTTGGTGATAATTCTTAAGTGTTTTATCGCTGTTTTGTTTAGATGTATGGATCACCCGTTATTCACAGCAGCTCTACATCTTTAGACAGCAGTATGTCAAGTCCACATGGCCCAACGTGAGCAAATTTATTTTGTCATATGGTGTAGAAATATATATTTGTAATGTAATAATTTTAAATTAAATAAAATTTTAACTAATTTTTAATTTTTTAGAGGAATATTTAGTCTAACAACTAATGATAACTCTATTTTAATGCTTTGGCATTTCTAGATTTCCATCTTTTTAGTCAGAATTTTATCCTTTTATTAAATGGATCCGCTGTGCAAAATATCAATGCACATACCAGCAAATACCAGATTATCTATTTCATTTTTAAATTAATGAGAAGTTTCACAGAATGGTGATGTTGTTTACTTAAAATTTTTCAAAATGAATTAAATTGTTTGCACAATACATGTTTAACATCGTTAATGGAATTTATGGCATTTACAAAGCAGTTTTGAAATAGAAAATATTTTTATTATATAGCCAACATTTTTTCTGATTAAGTGCACAAATAAAGCTTTAATAAGCCAAACTAATACACGAGCTGATATAATCAATGATACTTGGCAGTTGGCAATCCTTCTTTCGCCATAAAATTTTAAAGTAACCAATTTCAAATTTTTAGAGATCATTGGTATGATAAACTAGGCAGAGTGCTGAGCTACCCAGATGATATAGCATATGCACAAGATAATCAAATGCACGTGCAACAAATATCCAGTGGAGGAACTTATCCTAGAAGATTACATGCTCGTCCAGAAGAAACAAACGATCACAATCTAGATAGTATGTTGTTTGTAATTTCTATTCTCAGTTTGGTGATTTAGTTGGTTAGTGGTTCGGGCATCACTCCGGCTGTTATAAACTGGGTATTGCTGAAATGAAAGTCTTTTGTGCCATGAAAGTAGCACAGCAGTGTTACAATCTGGGTGTCTGAGAGGAATATAGCCAGGCAAGGTGCTCAGATTCAAAATATAGTATTTCTAGCTGGGGCTATGCTCTTTAAATGAATTCACAAATACGTTTGTAATGATATTGTACTACCATTTACTCAAATTCTTTTTAATTGATATACGAATTTATTTTAGTTTCTCGATCTTTTCCTCGTATCCGACCGCCAAGCAATAATTCCTCAAGATATTTACCAAGCAATTCATATTTTATGAAGAAATCACCAAATAATATGTAAGTAGCATGTATATTCTATAATCCAACTTTACCAAGATTATCTTGTTTTTTTCATTTGTATTATTAATTCTATCTGTTTATTCTTATAGTTATCAGTGAAATTTCATCAATAAGTGGCTGATATTATTCGTGAAAGGCTAGATGAGCTACTCATCGCCATAGGTTGAGTCACATGACCACTAGTTACGGTAGTTATTTAGTTGACCGTTAGTTACAGCTTTCTCCGCCATCAAGTCTATGAATCGGAAATAAATGACAGGTTAACTATTCCGATAGGTTACATGAAATATACTGTTAACCGGGCAAGATTCAGTGATTTGCCATAAAAATTACCCATATTATTGACTTTAATCTTTCAGGATAAATATCAAATATCCTTCATGTGTGAACATTACTAGAAGTATTTGTGATTGTGTTTTAAGTATTAAAATGATAGGTTTGTAGTTATATTCACAAATGAAAAGAGCAATAATATTTATATTACACACGCTAATGTTATTTACAATCTATAAGTTGAATATGATATAATCATGAAATGCCTTCCAGCTACGATTTTACAATTCCTATGGAATGTTTGGCCGTTGCCATAGTACCAGTCATCTTTTCCAAGTACACAATTAAATATAGGATAAGGTTATCTCAGTTACGTGCTTTCAATCAAAAATTAATCGTGATGATCTGACTGTCACCTCAATAACTAAAAATTAATATTGGTAATAATCGCATTGGACGAGTAGGCCTACTAAAAATTAGCTAAAACGTAGATTTTTGGCAACCTTGAAGGTTTAGCTCACTTTTTCAAATTCTTTGCTTCACCAAGTATAAGATTGTAAATGTGGCCAAAACACTTCATTTATTAAATCGCTATATTTATTTTTTGATTGCATATTATCTTTATAAAAAATACTTAACAAAAGATTAAATTCGAGTTAAAACTTTCAATACATTTCTAACTTTATAGAATTGGTTTAATTTCTGACACTTCTGACACATTTCATGGTTTCAGTGTTTGCAGTTACTTTGTTTCTGTAAAATCAGTGCAAATCTTTGTTTAATTTAAAATTTAATTTCAAAACTGATATTTGATATGTACAATTGTAAAAAACATTTATGTGCTATTCGTTAGTACACTTGTTTTTCACTGTACTACAGATATAGGGGATAACCTCTACATACACCCATATACCTGCCAAGAAGTATTGCGTTCAACAGGCTTTAAAAAATTCTCTCGTTAAATTCCTATTCATACCCGTCAGGTACTTTAAATAGTTCTGGTTTTGCTCAAAAGTTGTACTTCATTCCATGTTTGGGTCAGTGATAAATACCCCACTTGTTTTTCAAATTATATACCCGAGTTAGCATGCCCTAATCTAATCTAATTAAACTTCGCTTGCAATATAAGTTACGAGCCCCTTAATATATTATGGGGGAATATTGTAGGTGATTTCTGTTTGTTGTTTTTCAAGGTATTGAGTTTATGGCAATCTATATAAACTTGTTTCACTTTGGAGTTCAGCTCATTAATCTTTATAGTAGTTTATTTCGTTTACATACCATATATAATGTGGTCATTTTGCAGAAGTTATTTTTTTCGTCAAGCCCCGAAATAGAAGATTGACTTTCTATTTATTTGAGAATTAAAAAATTAGCCTTGTACTACTTCCTATAATAAAATTTGCTGCAAGCATTCACTCAGATATAGAGGCGACTTATCTCTTAGCAGAGTTATGGTCATTAAAATGACAAATGCTACTAAAACTTTGTATAATCATAGGGGTGAATTTTGTGCAACTACTGAATGCAGATCCATTCCAGATTTAAAAGAATTCTTACTTAGGCTACTGCTTATGAGCCGAACAAATAAATATAAAATTCCTATAGAAATTATAGAAAGGCCTTCATTTTTGATTAGATCAGTGTTTTTCAACCTTTTTCGAGCCAAGGCACACTTTTTGCCATATCGAGATTACTCTGCCGGGTGCTACACCAAATAGACTCACAAATTGGAGAATTTCCCACGGCACCCTTGACAATATTTTATGGCACACCGGTGTGCCACGGCACCTCGGTTGGAAAACACTGGAATAGATTATCACTGTTCTAAATTACTTGTCCTAGGAAGTCTGACAGAACAAAACAGAACAGAACGAAATTTGTGAAAGTGTGATGCAATATTTAAAGCACTTGTACTTTTAGAAAATATTGTCTCTTTTTGTCCTAAACTTTTATACGTAAAGTATAATAGTTCAGGAATTTTATAGCCTGCCATAGTGCCACCAGTACAGTAATCTTTTGAAAACCGACTTTGTGGCCTTGTAAAACATATTTTCACTTCTTATTTTTATGTCACTATAGAAACCATGACAGTTTATGTCAGATTTTTTGCTCAGGTTTCTCATGTCATCAGCTTTCATAACTGAAAATAAGCTGTTACCCATGCTAAGGCTTAATAATAATGTCTTGAGAGTTGTATTTCAATTACAAATTTCTCTCATCTCACAATCTTTCAATGGTATAATTTGGGATGGCAAATAACGGCCCGCAGGCCGAATCCGGCCAATCGAGGAGTTAAATCAGACCCCCTTGTGTCTGCTGGTATAAAGACTATAGTTTTTATGGATATAAATACCTGTTGAAAAATTCGATAAAAATAATCTCATAATGACCCTGATTGTTACATTGTGCTACTTATTATTACTTATCGATCTTGATCAGTAAGTATGTTGATAGGTATTTGTCTGTCTGTTTGTCTGTGTGTTAGATGCACGCGATTCTCGCGAAAGCGAGGTTCAATCTGCTCCAAATTTTGCATGTGCATTCATCTTGGCTCGGATCAGAAGCCTATTGATTTTGGATGGATTATGTCGTATAATTAGCGAATTATTAATTAATTGGTGATGGGACACACGGTGTCACTATGGAGTAAGACCACTGTTTTGGGGGATCCCCTAACCTTCGATCGATAAGTCTTTGGTTTCCAACCGAATTCTAGTTTTATAATTGTTAGACTAGCTGTTGTAAATATACTGTTTTTTGTTTTCATATTGAGTTTTGAGTCTCTGGCCCAGGAAAAAGGTCTGTTATATGTATCTGGCGGACTCAGAAAAGTAATTTCCCACACCTGGTATAATTTATAGCACACTTGCTATAATATGATAGGATTAAGTGTATTCCAGCCTGATTATTTCTTGTCACTTATCCTTCTTTTTTACAAGTATATTCTTTATATTTAGGTCGTCCATGAGCAATTGCAGCAGTACAAGCAGTATTGGTATTGAAATGGAAGAACCTGGCCATCAATTTACCACTCCTATGTCAACTACTTCATTTTCTTCAGGTGAGTAACTTTTGTTTATATTCGGTCATCCACGCTTACTATGTTATTAAAGCAACACTTCAGTTTTTGAATTTTAGATTGGGCTGATAATGTGATTCGAAATATTTTTAGTTGATTGTTTTGGATTTTTCAGATTTATATTATGCCACTATGGAAATAGCAAATTTTTGAGAAGAAGCAATCAATTCAATTCTAATTTCTTAGTCATTGAACTTGGACTGATTAGTGATTATGCTATACCATAACTGATATTACATCACCATTTTCAGTTAGGATTAAAGTTTGAAATTATATAGTAAAGAACTTTCCATCAATTGTACTTGATTGGCAGTCCACATCTGAGCAGCCCTAAAAATCAAATCTACTGCTTTTCGTTCCTCACCCGTTTTTATATGGTTTTCTTTGTTAAAATCAGGTCATCGAACCTCATCATCTTCATCATTAGGAAGACAACAACACAGGAGAAGTGCTGGTGAAATGATTGTGGGTGATCAGAATTCTTCTTTGATGTTGTGTAAGTATTAAGAGTCTTCCAGACAACTTTTTCCCTAATCAGAGTAAATTCATAGAGACCTAATTCGTTAATGCAAAATAGATGAAATAAACAATACTTTGCTTGATTTTCAATTAGTACATTATCATTAGTTGAATTTTTTGTGTGACCGTCAGATGCCCAAAATGACAATTCTATAAGTTGAACGTCAAATTGTTCCTAAAATCCTGAATTTGCTGTTTTAAACTTATTTCATATTTCATTTGTTTTGGATAACCCTGATAGTACCCCAAGGATAACCAAATTTTCTTTAAACTACTGTAATCACTTCCTTAAAAAAGTAGCTTACATGCTATTGCAATGGTTTAAGTAAAATAAAAAGGATTCCTTGTATAATCTCAAAAAGACGAACCAGCGATTGACCAATAGTTTCGCATAAATTTCTGTGTCAGATATGAGTGTTAATATCTACCAGTATGTCATCGATTGGTGGAGTAAACAGGAGGTACATACAACCATCAGGATTGTGCAGGAATCCAGTCAATGCCCTCAACAATGTATCAGAACAGTGAACTGGATTCTTCAATTTCACTATAAGGAACCACTGGTCTGGCATTTTAAAATTTCGCATTACACTCCAACTAACAGCTGACAATGTATTTGAGAGAATTTATAATGTCACGCCTCACACGCACTCACCCATGAATAAAGGAGAATCATCTATGGCAGCCAACAACTGCTGAAATAATAGAATTATGCACCAGCATTTGCCGACTGTACAACAATTGGAGCAGTTCAACTGATTAGCATATTTTGATATTATATATTTAATTTATTTTATCAATATATTGAATTTTCAGCACCGAAACCCCCAGCAAATTGGAAGAGAGGTAAAGTCCTTGGTCACGGTGCTTTTGGAAAAGTATATGCAGCGTATGATGCTGACACAGGAAGAGAATTAGCTGTCAAACAAGTACCAGTACAGAGTGATAGCACTGGTACATCCAAGGTGAGAGCATTAAATGGAGACAATACATTTATTTACAACACATTCTCATGCTTTTCACTATGAATAGGGGTCTGAGCAAGCAATTTCCAATATGTGCGGACCCGGATCAATACTGTTTGGCATTGCTCACTCCATTTATTAAACCTTGGTTACATGGGTATGGGGCACGGGTCGGCAACCTTTAGCATCGAAAAAAAATACAGTTCGAATATACTGTGAGTGCGCACTGGATCTGGAGTTATTGTGATTATGAACCAGCGACCTAGCCCTGGTTTAGACAAATTTGAATCACCTTAATCGACCCATTTTTATCGCTCGCGACTTATACTTAGGGAACCACTATGGTGTGTAATTATTGAGAAATATTTAGCTTTATGCCTTCCCTTTCATTGAAACCTCACTGCTTGCCTCTAACAAAAAACTGCTGTGACGACTTTGATTCACGGGAGCCAGAGCTCCAAGAAAAAATAGCCACATGCGGCTCCGGAGCCGCACGTTGCCGATCGCTGGTATAGGGTATAGGATTTTCAACCCGAGATATTTAAAACTGTGATGGCATTCGGTCCAACTCACTAACCATTATGCCCCCAAGTTATTTATAATTGTGCATTAAGTTATGAAAATGAGTTCAATTACAATTTATTATTTTCATCTTTGTTAGACACTCTTCTTGCTATTTGAGTATGAACATAGAAGATTACTTTAAATTTCTATATTTTTTGCTCAGGAAATCAAAGCACTGTTGACTGAAATAGATTTATTACGTCGACTATCACATGACAGAATTGTTCAATACTATGGTTCATGTGAAGATACAAATACACTGTCCGTTTTTATGGAATACATGCCAGGGGTGAGCATAAAAAAAAATTATTTCAATATATACCTAGTTATTTTAATTAATATTTTCATATTCTTCTTGAAGAAGCCGATGAGACAGCTTAATCATATTGTGAACCACAAGATATTGTCTGGTTATCTGTCCATGTTGGATCGTGGGGATAGATCAGGGGTTTGCCCACCTAGACTGGTGGGCCATGTGAGAGTGACATAAAAAGTAACATTTTATGAACAATATTTACAGTGTTACAATAGCAAAGCTGGAAAACAATAAGCCTCGTACCAGAACTAAATTCATTCAAAGTCTCAACAAATTCTTTGGGTTATTTTTTAGCTAAAGCATCAAAATTTGGTTTGGTTTGGTTGTGGCAGCATCAGGCGGGCCAGAATGAATCACCTAATGGGCCTGATTTGGCCCCTGGTCCGGGATAGATTTTATATATATGCTTCAGATGCATTGACCTAATCCTTGTAATTTTGAATTCCAAAATGATCTGTTTTGCAGTAATATAACGATAGATGACATAATTCAGGATATTTTTGGGAAAGGTAAATGTGAATTTAAATAGCAGATCCCATATTGTAGTCTAATTTTTGTCTATTGATTGTACCACTGTATTTTGATGGCATTATTATCAATCGGCTGAGCGTGAGTCGAGTCACTGGTAGTTCGAGTGTTGATTCAACTTGAATCCAAGCGGTTTTTAAAGTTCGAATGTCAAGTTGAGTCGATGCACTGCCCTAGTTACAAATCATCTTCACGTATTGAGTTGAGCCCAAACCATAGTAGATTTATTAAAATAATGACAAAATGAATCACATTGTCCCTGAGACATGAAATTGCCATCTTGTGTTAAGCTAGTGTTTTTTTTAATTTATGTAATCATGTGTGAACACAGCATCAACATGGCCTATTTTGAGTTATTGTTGCAGCAAGATAGTGAATTCTCAATTTACTATACAACAATAATATAAGTGCCAAATGCAATTGGATTTTATTTGCCATTTCAAAGAAATAGCATGAAACTTTTTCAGATTCTTAAGTCTTATCTTAATTTAATTTGACTCCAGTAATCTGAACGAGGTCGAATTGAATCTAGTCTCCTCAACGCTAGTTACTACTTTATATCATTTTACCTATTTTGTTAATTTTTGAATCATTATTTTCAGGGATCCGTTAAGGACGAAATCAAATCATACGGTGCTTTAACAGAACAAGTTACATGTAAATATAGTCGACAAATATTAGAAGGTTTATCATACTTACATCAATATAACATCCTTCATCGAGATATAAAAGGAGCTAATGTTTTACGAGATGCTTCAGGAAATGTAAAACTCGGTAAGATTTTCGCGTTTTATTTTTTTAGCAGTATAATTCATACACACAGCCAGGGATGTACCCAGTTGGGGGTTGGGTTGAGGGTCCAGAACCCCCCTTTTGAAATGTAAAAAAAAAAAATTGTATTTTACAAAGCAATTTTTTGTAGCATGAAATGCTTTTAAGATTCGCAAGACTCTTGAAAACTCATGTTTCCGGTCGGAATTGCTATCTGTTAACAACCTAACTTGGCAATTGGCAATTAGAAATTTCAGAAACCCTGCTCTCCTGCACACAGCCACAGATAGAAATATCTGTATGTGGTATCTAATTGCAAGGTTTTTAAAAAAGACATCTCAACCCCGTTTTTGTAATGGCTAATTAGTAAGAAGTGGCGTATTTTCCTTGAAATTCCATATACAGTAATTTATTGTGAACCCTGCTAACCATTGCTTTTTTGGGCATTGCAATCTGCTATTTATAATTGTACTACACAACTAACTGTTTTTCTATTTAAATGATTCTTTGTAGCAAAATTGGCATGTATGCTATTCAACATTGAATAAACTTGGTTAGGTTGGAGTTGCCAGAGCCTAACTTCTGTTCCTTTCTTTCTGTCAATGTATTAGTGAATTTGTATGCACTAGCTGCAAGGATATTGTAGCGAGAATCAAAACGGCTATTTCGAATGGTTTAAAAGTTTTGCACCATACCTTCACAATTTTTGTTCTATAAATCTTTGTCTGACCTGAAGTAAATTACCTTTTCTGAAGAAGTCTGACTGGGTAAATGTATTCTTAGCAATCAGATTTTTAGTGAATTATTAATCGATTATTTCCTTGTAAACACCTTCTTGGCATTTTGTAAATTTTATTTATGTATATTTTTATTTTAGGTGATTTCGGTGCTGCTAAGCGATTACAGACTATTTTAACTGCATCGGGACAAACAGTAGTAGGTGAGTATTAGGTGTGTTGTATTGCGTATCATAGAAAATTTTATATGTAGGTAACAGTCAATAAATTTTTGGTCAGCGTTAGTTTCAAATTGCTATTTAGTCTTGTCTGCAGGATTATAAGCAGTGGAAAGAATACAGCCACAGAATTGGTATGAATCTTATAAGAATATGTGACATGTCAAGAACAAAAAATATATACCAATCTTTCTAAGATAATAGTATTAGTGTCATTTGTGGACATGATAGTCTATTGTTTATAGAATTGGACAGGTTAAAAAATTTGTGTTCCACCCCCATGACACGCCCCTTTACTCAGGGTGCTTTCAACTAGGTTCAGCAATGCTGAACTGAAAGAATAGTTATTTGGAAAAATCTACTGACATGTATATTTTGTTCATGAACAGTATAATTCCACCAGCCATTTGCAACATTTCTGTCCATATATTTGGGATCCCATGCCATTGAAATGGGAGCTTTTAAAAACCAATAAAAATAAAAATAATAAAAAAATAAAATTAAAATAATAGCCCACTAGCAATTTTTTTCGTCTTAAAGAACTGAAAACTTGAAGATGATGGGTGCATTGGTGATTTTTTACAACAATAGCAATTGAGCAAAACGATTCATACATTCACTTTTTAACCAATAATTTTTCAATCTTTGTTGTCTCAGGTACTCCATATTGGATGAGTCCTGAAGTTATCGAGGGCAAAGGATATGGAAGAAGAGCTGATATTTGGTATGTAGTTATCGTTTTAATACATACTTGCCGTTAGTTTTAAGATGAATCATATGTTTTGTATCTGCCATGGGTGAAAAAGCTGGTAGGACTACTCATGAAAACATGGTATTTTGTCCAATCATCAATCAAGTAAAATAGATAACCTCTGTGTATTGTGTTCATGGACTTGAAAATCAGGGTTGATAACCTATTAAAATGTGTTTATTTGTGCAATGGAAACTTTTATGATTCCAACAGTACAGGGTAAATTTTGTGTATGATTATACGCCAAGGTTTCAGTAATCTGGGACGCTTTGCTCGAAAGTTATGTTCATTCTAGAACCTGCAGCTCGTGAACCGCATGCAGCATTTGCGCCGGTTTCATGTGGTATCTTTCTCCTTTCTCTCCTCCTCTTTCTCAATAAGCATGCTAGCTAGCAGAGATGAACAAAGGTACCTATATCTGATGTCCATGTGTGTCCTTGTTCATAATGTTGCTCTTTGCGATAATAAAGTAAGGAATGTGGCCCTTGGCCCCTGTCTGGTTGGCCACCTCTGCTCTAGAATATATTCCAAATGACCACGGTTTTGTTTTTCTTTTATTCTATTAATGTAATACTACAATATTAGGCGCTCCCGTAGTATGTGCGCCAACATGGTGCACAACGGAACGTAGTATGTGTACGAGTTCGGGGACTAGCCAAGTGACTTCCGTAGTATTTGTACCTGAAATTATGACTTAACCCTAATCTGGTACACATTACGGTGTCCGCCATCTTGGTTCACATACTACATGAGTACCCAATATTACTATATTGTACCCCAACTTGTATATTCATATATAATTGTACCCCAACTTGTAAGCTTCAATATTCATTGAATTTCTTCTTTGTTTTAGGAGCCTCGGATGCACTGTTGTTGAAATGTTGACAACGCGTCCTCCATGGTATGAATTTGAAGCCATGGCAGCTTTATTTAAAATAGCAACTCAACCAACCAAACCAGAACTGCCTCCCACTGTGTCACAATCTTGTCGCGTGAGTGTTCTAATTTTTACAAGCTTTTGTTTGTAATAATAATTAATGTTGTATTCAAAAATTCGCTACACGTTTTGTACACCTTTAAAAGGTAGGGTTCTAAACCACCGAGTAGGTTCAATTTTGACTGTTATTAATGAACTTTATAAAATAATAAATTCAGGGATTTTCACACTTATTTCCGACCTCTGGTTATTCAGCCATCGGCATTCTTTTATTGATTGAGTCGGAATTCGTGTTTTGATCTCCTTGGAGCCAGAGCTAGAGTTGAAATATTTGAGTTTTTTTAAATCAAAACCGGATTTTCAGACTTTTATAGGGATAATCAAAGTTTCCAAACCTTCAACAGAAACTCTGAAAGTTTTAATTTATGTTCCAACAGACGAAAGACTTGTTATAAAAAATATTATATATCTGTATCTGAAGATATATTGAAAAATTATTTTCAACTTGGAATCAGGAGCCAGACTTATTTTACACAACAACCATTGAATTAATATAAATACATTCCAATATTTTTGTACATTTTCTACATTAAATTACAAACCAAATGTATTTTATTTTCAGGATTTTATAACGATCATTTTTGTTGACAAAGATCAACGACCATACACTGATGATATTATTAGTCATAAATGGTTTCAAGGAATGTATTTCTGAAACATATAAGATTATGCAAAATTGAACTGATATAGCATCAAAACAGACTCAATGTTATCCTCCAGTGATATATTAGCATGCGCTAACATGTCGAGTAACGTTTTTATGGACCGAAGCTTTGGAAGACTGAATCACAGGGGAGAAATATCTTCAGGAAGTTCGTTTTACAGTAAAGGAGCCATTTATGTACATCCATATTGAAGTTACCTCACTCGATGGTACTTATGATTAATGACTCTTGCTTATAATATGGAGAATTTATTCTTTTCCAGAATCTCCCTACTTTTGATATTGGTACCGGAATTTCAGGTGCAGTGTAAATGACATAATGTTGTATTCAAAATATTCTCAATGTCTCATTCGATATCAACAGAAATAATGGATCTCACTCTCAACTGTGTTAAAAATTTCAGAACATACATTCTCCCTAAGTTTTTTGATATAGAGTAATGCCAATTGCCATTTCGCAAATTTTGGATGTCACAAATTTGAGAGTATTCAAAAAGAATTTCAAACTCATTGCATCCTATTTCGAATTCTTATACTGCTATGGAATTGATGCAATAGCCCACCATGCATTTGAATTATTTGGGTGGATAAATTCAAAACATATTTGTCAAATTTAATGTTTTTCAGAATATCCTTATCATTTAGCGGACATTGAAAAAACTTTCTGCCGTGAATTGAAAATCTTCATACACTGCATTGTGTTTATGAAAATCGAATTTATCAACTAATTTTACAGATTGTTGTTGTTTCAATTTGATGAATAAATCTCATGTTTTGTGCACACTTTAGCAACTCTTTTTATTTTATCTTATTGTTTATCAACTAGTAAGATTAAATAATAAATTACTTTCTAATTCTTGCCTATTATATCTTACAATTGTGTGATTAATGTTTTCTAATTCATGTCGAGAGCAGAGAATCAATTCTAAATATTTTATTTTTTCACCTTATATAATACTTATACTATTGAGTCATATCGTATGATTTGAATACATGAATCGATGAATTTTAAAGTGTTTAGATCATTCCTACAGTTCTGTGCATAAACAATTATGCTAGGCAATACCTTATAGAATCCTGGATCTGTACCTCGAGCAGAAAACAGCCACACAATGTTCAACTTCTTGAATGTTCGGAATCACAGCGTTCACAATCAGCAGAAATATCACTTTTTAGTTTGGACACTCATATTGTCAATATCACAGCCGATCTTGGTAGAAACCTGCCTGTTCGTATCTCAAAGTTTGCTTTATATATCCAACTTTTGTGTACTGTTATCCAAATAGTCCCTTTGTAAACTTTATTGGAGCTAAAATTTCAATAGCTTGAAAAAATGTACTGCTCTCTGTCCTCGGAGATCAAATAAATTGCCATATATGGTATCAGTTTTTTTAGAACTTGTTTGTTTTTATACTACAAACTCTATCGGGCCGAATGTGAGGGCCTCATTGCTGATTCGGCTGATATTTAGATTGTTGATTAAACAATTAATATTTGGGTTGTTCTCATATAAAGCATTACGAATATTCATTAATGTACTTCATAACATAGGCCATATTTCCAATGTGATTAATTAGAGCATTTGCAAATGTGGAATCGTTGAACATATTTTCTTTATGTTGTTGATATTCCCATCTGTGAAATCTTGTGTGGTATGTTTAGATAATTTTGGTCATTTTGATGAATAGGCTATATATTAAATCCGTCCTCTTAACTATTATTTTTTTTATTGGAGTTTCTATATGAAAAATCTGTATTTCGATTTCTATCATTTTTATACGAATATGAACGTGTTTTAACTTTTTCAAATAGTTTTTTAATATTTCAACTTATCATCTGCACTACATAGCTCATTTTTAAGCATTTGTATCTGACGTATGTATTTTTAAACCACTAATTCGAAATATTCTTCAGAGATACCGGTGTATTTTCTAATGTCCAGATCCAAAATTTTTATTTCAGAGTATAGCTAATCAAAATTTGACAATATTTGTCGATCGGTAGTCGGTACTAATAGTAACAACTTTTCATCACTTTCTAGTAATTACTATATTGTACAACTTATTGATCATTTGCTTGGTGAATCTTTGAGAAAACTGTTAGACTGTTAGGCTTGTTGTCAGTAGTGGGATTCAGCCGGTTCGCACCGGTTCTATAGAACCGTCTCACAGAATTTTATGAGATCAGCGAACCGGTTAGCATTACTGAAAAAAACAAGACTTTTTGTAACAGAACCGGCTGAAAAATATGACATTTGTGTGATGCAACAGTCTGACAAATGATTTGAATCCCACCACTGGTTGTTGTCACTGAACATGTTGGGAGTTAATCTTGAGATTTCAGATCTAGCTAATACATGAACATACTGAACTCTTGTCAAATTACTCAATACACCATTTCAGCATTCGCTGGTGAATGAAAAATTAACAGAAAACCTGAATGATGCGTATTTCTAGCCACCAGAACTATAATTCCTTTAAAACTGTATCTAATCCTCTCTTGTTATTTACATACTCGTGCTATTTGTGCCTTCTGAAGCTAAAGCACCATTTTATGTCCTATTCCATCCAATCAAGTGGTTTATGACAGTTGGTCAAAATGCTATATTCAACTTGAAACCACATACGAAAATCTCACCATACTTTATTTAGACTATCTGTGCTTTGTTGAACAAATAGTTAAAGTGTTCTTCTCAAATCACATATCATACTGGCTCATAAATTGCGAAGACTTATAAATATAAGTACTGGAATATGATAGAACATGTACTGCTAAGTATATTTCATCTTTAAACAAATGAATGCCAGAAAATGATATAAAAATATTATTGCCCATTTAAATCAGCTATTGCGCCTTGTGTATTAAAAAATAAAAGAGATGCTATTGGCCATGCTTCGTACCAATTTTATTAAGTTGTTATCTGATTTTAGTTTAGTTTTGAGTATAATTTGTATGATTGCAGGTAATGTCTTCCAAAAAAAATGGCTTTAAAATTTTCTGTAACTTTCACTGTAAGTGGAATGTTTATCATTTTAAATGATGTGTTTCATAAGTTTTAGTGTATTTTCTGCTAACCCTGCTATTTGTAACAAGAATGACAGGTAATATGTCGTTTTTACATTTCGAATAAATATATCGTGTTTAATCATTTGTACCTTCAGAAAGATTACCGTTTTCATCATCATACTAAACAGTGGAGTAGAATTGTACCTACTTGACTCTGCTAATTTTTATCATAACTTTCGAATTATGATCACTTGATACTAGACTTAATTATTCTAACCTGGTTTAAATCAAATTTACGAGTTTAGTGGTTGGTACTGTTATATCATTCAAATTTGCAGCATTTGTTTGACCTAATTGTCCATTTCTTAAAAATACCCAGCATGCTTTTTGCAATAAGCATTGTGATGAACATTTGTAGCCTATCGTTTTATTTTATTTTCCTTTCAGCCTTTTTTGTTTACTCCTTTTCCTCTCTCTCTCTCTCTCTCTATCTGTTCCATTTTATATCGGAGTTCCTACTCATAAAATATATCAATAAAATGTTTAATTATAAAGTTGGGTCAGGGTTTGTATCTTAATGCGGGAGTTGGATAGGATATGCCGATGTGCTTTTTGCCAGAACGAAGAACAGATTTGGTAACAATGTAGTGTGACTTAGGCGATTTTTGTGAGAATATGGCTTGAAGTGGAATGTGTGCCAGGTATCAAGGACTATGGAATGCCCCGGTGTCTATAAATGCCCATAACCCCATAGATTAAATCATTTCATCAAAATACCAATTGATGTAAATATATTTCTCATAGAAATCAATTCTTTTCGCATCTCTAAAAGTCCGAACTGCAAAATATCTAAAAACTTGACCAGTCGCGCAAATTTTTCCCGCATAAGGCTGTACACGCAAGTTGGTTGAGGCGGGGATTCAGCTATATTTTTAGCACTCTTGTTTTTAAATTGAGAACTGTCAAATAACCCATCGCACCTGGGATTTAGAAAATTATATCAATATTACTATGTCTGTTCGTATATCTAAGGCTTGAGTGCTGAAAATATATCTTTCTGTGTTCATATAAGATTTGTAATCATTTCAGTTTGGTTTTTATTTTGTCTTATTTTTAGTAATGAGATGCACACTATATACATTTTGAGGGCTACAGTTTATGTTAAAAATATTATAATTCGAGAGCAATATTTATAATAAAGAGGATAATGGAAACTCGGGAGCATCTCAAAATTGGCAGGTTTGGTGGAGTTATGTTTGAAAAAGTGTGCAAATCCCAGTCATAATAGGTCGTCGACACTAAGTTTAAGATCTTCAAAAACGATCAAAGTTATATATCTAGAAAAAAAGTAGAAAAGCAAATCTTCAGCTCAAACTGTCTCGAATGACTTTCTATACTTATCCGCGACGTATATTGCGCGATGTCAAGTGCTTATCCCTCTGCATGATAACCCAAAGAACTAATGATCTCCGGGTAGGTCACACTCGCCTCGTTTAGAATGATTAACAGCCGTATCGGTTAGACATTATAGTCAAGCTTCTTTTTTCCAGTCAGTAACAAAATTGCATGCGAATTACAGGGGAAAAACGGAAATCATTTTTACTGGGGAAGAGAAGACGTGGCGAACCAAAGCTGCGTCACCCAATGTTAGGATTACCATACGTCCCGCTTTAGGCGGGACAGTCCCGCTTTTTAGCGTCTTGTCCCGCCGTCCCGACAAGTCAGCCAAAAGTCCCGCTTTTGCGTTCAGCCATCCAGCATGATACACGAACATGTTCTCATTACTGTTGTTGCTGTGTAGCGCAACGCTGGCGTACTTACTAAAGGTGAATGCGTTATTTTGTTTGTTTCGTTGTTTCTCGCTAACATTGTTAGCGAACGTATCACATGCAAAATCTATTCAAATTGGTCCTGTTCGGACGTTCGCGTGAATGTAACATTGAACAACGATTTTTAAAAGTGTTATCTACAGAAAAGCATGCTTTGGCGAATAAGCAAATTCTCAATGCTTGAAAACGGCAGACTATTTCAATATTCTTTATTCCTTTTGCTGTACATAAAAAATCTAAATTCGGATCATTTGTATCGTTAGCGTCTATTCCTTTCTATTTTTCGAACTGAACTCGATACTTAGACAGAGAATATGCGCATGAACTCTCGATGACAATATGGTCAATGAAGACAGCCGGGATAGCTTAAATGTTGACCTGTCCTATGTAGCCTGACTTGTCCCCTTAAGTTACAGGAGGCGTCCCGCTTTGAAGTCAAAAAATGGTATGGTAACCCTACCCAACGTGCTATATATTAATTGAGGTTTATATACGCTAGAATTTTAGTTTTCTGATTAGTTTATTATCGGGAGTATGGCTTTACTGAGCTTGGATTTGGAAACTCACGTCACCCACCAGAGGAAATATTTGACCGCCCATCAACACATCAGATTGCACAATTGCTCCTCCAAGTGTCTTGCAAAAACCAAAGACGATCCACTTCGGGGAATGGCTAAGGGAGCTTTGACGGTCATATATATCATGTGTATTTGAGGATAAGCATTGAAACATGATTGAAGTAAGTGTGAATCTGCTACTACATATATTAGTCACAGACAAGTTTATTTTCTCCAGTCAGTAAAAAAGCAAGTGAGATAAGGTAAAATAAAATTTGAACACACACATTTAACGACGGGGAAAGGATGCCACGGAAGGAACCAAAGCTGGTTATCGAGCAGTTATATACCAATTAAAAATGATAAGGTCGGGAATTTTAGTTTTCAGGGTACTGCTATTATTAAATATCAGTTAGCGGCTTATGGCTATGGCAGTTAATCAACCAACAACGCTTATTAGAGACTTTATGCGAGAACCACTCGGCCCACAAGATGGTTCATGGGGTTGTTGGTCATCTATAAACTATCGCATAGAATTAAATCGAATCACGGGACCTTAGCCTATAACAAGAACAACAACAACAGCATAACACCAAAAAAATTCATATGTTCATTTCGTGTCCAATAATGGTTAAGTACTTGGGTATTCGATCAATTGCAGATGTGCAGAAATATATAAAAGTTCAATTCATTTAAACAATGCTTCGAATTGGCGACCTAACATCGAGTAAGTTTCTATTTTATAAATTACGACATATATAAAATAATATTATTTGAGACACGTAATTCAAGTGGAAATTGAGTTCAAAATATTGGCGAATTGCTTCGGCAGGAAACAGGCAAATAAAAATCTCGACATAAAAAAGGCAAATATATAGTATGAGGCCCGGAACATTAGCTGCGTACATCCATCACTTAACAAAGAGAATCACATAAGAAAAAATAACTAACAAAAACATACGTTATTCAATGCGTTTTTTATCATTTTCAATAAACGGCATATCGAAGTTCTAGGTTAAGCCACGAAGGACATTTTAAATTGAACTGACAACAATATTGAAAATTGGTAGGTGTACAAAGGTGAGATACGTTTCGTATTTCACAGAGAACATCATCATTCCCAATAATTTCACCCTTTTACTTATAAAATAATCTTGGAGTAAGTCTAGCGAGGTTCATGAAACATCCAACTATAGACGATGATCTATGTTCAATTCTAAATATGGCATGAAGGTACAGATTCAAGCTCGATTTTATTAATTTTTTATTCTCAAAAAAGTTTTGTCATAATGGCGATTTAGCTGAATTGAAGGATTGATGAGACCCAATTTTGAACCTTCCCGTTTCTGTATTCAAATGTTTCCAGAGGTCAAATAGGAATTTGAAACAACCGAGAAAACCAATGTCACCTTCAAACAATTTTGTTAGCAAATCGGAGCAGTATCAGATATCGATTATATATGTTAAAGAGGAATAATGAAGGGCCGAGACGGCGACCTTGAATTACGCTGTATTGAATTAGAAAAACTTAGGAACGATCAGTGTCAAGTATAACATATTGAGGTCCTGCAGATAATTTTGTTTAGGTATAAGCTGTTGATGGGCGCCAGATGCTTCCTGTCACTTATTTGCTCCTGTTTTTTTATTGGCCTTAGCTGCTGCCGTGGTTTCTTTCACATTCCATTCCGTGGAGTCAATGACGGTATGAAAAACTGGGATTTATAAAGTGGTTGTTTTTATTATGAAAATAGTTGTCAGACATGATAAAATAGAAATAGGTTCATTATTAGATAGTTTTGTTTGATCACCTGATCTGAAAATGGAATAATTCTGTCAGGTTTCAATTAAATTTCCTTCTGGGAATGAAGGGGATGTTAGAAGCGCTTGTGACTTTACCCTTCGCCATTATTCTGAAGCATAATAAGCGTCTTTCACAATGTTTGTGACACATATAGGTCTGTATGATCGTAATGCACAAAAGACTTCATACGCGTGTATTTTCTGCACTCTGCACTTCCAACTAGAAACATTGAAATGCAGTATCTAATTGCCTATTACCCTAAAAATTCTAGTCGGCGAAAACGAGTTGCAGATAAACTTGTACAGCCCCTACTAGTTGATACGGCTTCTGCAGTACACAAAGCAGACTCAAAGATTCTAATATCCAAAAATCAATACAAAAGGATTTCTGAAATGTAAAACAATCCCATCTAGTCAGAATCAAGTAAAAAGCAAACGCTAATTTATATATTGTGCAATGAATAGCTGAAGCAAACATATTGATGCAGTTCGTTAAAGTTTTTTTGAATTCAGAGTGTTTCAACGTTGTGTGCGGAAGGTAACGAGTATTATTGACTGAGTATTCCAAACTCATTTCTAGCAGTAAGGAGAAATATGAATTTTTTTTGCTACTACTATACATCAATAATCAAAGGAACAACTAGCAGAATTACCATGGCCGAAAGATGCCACATTGGTATGCGAATTCAGCAATCGTGAAATATTAGTGATTTTTCCCTAACCAGACGAAGAGAGAGTTATGGTTAGGAACTGAATTTTATGAGAGAGTCTTCATGCGAGTGAGATCACGTTGAGCAATTGAGATCAAGTGCAAAAGTAGGTTCATGACACTCAGACCGCAACCTTAGGTGTCACCAATCCATCTCCACATAATTGAAATAAGGAAAAACATTTATCAACATTGTATTATGCAATTTTTACTTGATTCCGTCTCTGAACGGCACACATTTTCTACTAATTCATTAGGAAAAAAGCGTATTAAAATGCGTATG